CGTTAAACATCGACTTGAATCTCTTTTAAATCTATGCCGTATATATGAACATCCATCATGGAAAAATGATGATCAATATGAAGAATTTTATCGATTTTATGGACCAGATCATTCAGATATTGAAGAACTTGAAGTTTCTATTGTATCAATTTCATCATTAATTGAAAATCTTCAACATGAACAAGATATAGATGAAGATTATCAACCTTTTCCAGATTATCCTTTATGTAAAAATGGTTGGACATTAAAAGAAATTGAACAACTTGAAAAAGAAAAATGTTTAAATTTAAATATTATAAATCAAATAGGTTTACATACATTAAATCAATGTTATGAGGAACTTAATGAAAAACAATCCTCCTCAACAACGAAATTCAATGTAAATATCATTTATTTTCTAAAAAATCAAAGAGACAAAAAAAACCAAGAAACAATGATGGAAAGAGATAGAAGAATCAGATTGAATTTATTTTATTTCGTTGAAACTAGATCAAAAATATTTGTCTGTGGAAGGATCAATGGGAAAAAAGCGAAAATTCCGTACTTCACTGTACCCTAAAAGTAAGGAATTGTTGCTTTTCCCCTTAGGAAGAATAATGTATTGCATTTAATTCTTATAGTCAGATATATTTAGGTATCAAGTTCTATTTGAATTAGAACAAGCACAGCATATTTGACCCCTGTTCAAAAAGTGACATTAGTAATAATCATAACTCCTCTTCTAGAACAAGAAGTCATGGTCTTCTATTATGGAAATTCACATCGCTCTTTCAAAAGTGACCTTCTATTGTGAACTAGGTTTTTTTGCTAAAATTTACCTAGAAAATTAAAGATTTTTTAAAAACTTTTCTGATGTTCACATAGACGTGATTAGTAACTAAGCGCCGGAAAATTAGGCTTTTTACTAAGAACATGTTTTTACCAGAAAAAAAAAGAATTTTAATTACAAAAAAAAGGTTTTTACTCAAAAGTTAGGTTTTTATGTACTAAAACATCCTAAATTCGATAGATTTTCGAAAAAAAAATGTTTAGAAAACTCATAATTTTTCTTTACAACTTGTGAAATTTTTCTTGTGGGTTACTTTCTAATGAGAGTAGTCTTTTAATATAGAATGACCTTCTATTCTGGGGAGGAGTGCGTTATGACAGCACGATGTGTCGTCATCTGTATTATCGTCTTCTTATTTCTTCTAATTTTTGTGTATCTTTCTCGCTATGTTCTCTCTCTTGTTCTATCCATATTCTTCTGTATGTACTTTATTTAATTGGCGCTAGAGAGAAATATATATGTATAGTGAACTACGGTTGTATACTTGTAAGTCTATGAGTTGTGAAGGTGTATTTTGGTCTGAGTATTATAGTTACACAGCATACATCTGTAGATTATATTTATTTACTTTCCTCTAAAATATAAATTATTGAGAAAATATTTATTAATTTGATTCATATTGATTATCTGGCATTAAGCTTGTCGTACATCTAGACATCTCAGGGAGGCTTACTAATGTTCAAATTAAACAAAGCTACTTGATTAGACTTTTGGATCTTACATGAATATTTTTATTACAACTAAAAAATCTCCAATTTTCAATTTTGACTTATTCCTTTTATATGAATACTTCATTCTGTTTCACAATATGAATACTAGTGCATGTTTATTCACTTGACAGTAAACGATTTCCTTATCAACCTTATTTAAATTTAGACAAGAATAGACATTTTCTAACTAGATTTTGCTTTAGTAATAAAAAAAAACATTCACATACTCATTTGATATTCAATATAATTTATTTAGAATGAACATTTAACATCACATGATCTTAATCATTTGAATACAACTTCATTATCATCCATTCCAAACTCATGTATATCTTGTGATACAAATAAAAATCTTCTTGATCTTCCAACAGAACTTCTTCTTCAAATATTTTCATTAATTTCACCATTTGAACTTATAATAAATGTTGCGCCAACTTGTCGTTATTTTGCAAATCTTATTTTAAATTATGGTTTTTCTCATATTGATCTTTCAAAAATAGTTTCCGTTTTTGATGTAACTCATTTACTTTCATATTTAACACATCTTCGTTCAATAACATTTATTAATTGGGAAAATGAAGTAAGTATTCTTACATGGGCTATATGGTTTGATAGAATTGCTAAAACAACTTCTAAACTTCATACAATACGTTTTCAAAATATTCATATATGTCCAATATTAATTTGTTTTATTGTTGAATATTTTCCTCATTGTTTACAAACAATTATATTTGATTATCAACAACATAAAGGCTATGAAAAATTTGATTTAATTTTATCATTACTTGCTGATAAAACTATTCAATTAAAATGTATTACGGCTTCATATCAATTAGGAATAACTAATTTTGGTATTTTACAACTTGTTAAGAATTTAAATATAATAGTAGAATTAAATTTACTTTATATTGAAGCAATTAATGATGAGTAAGTTTATTTTTTGTTTTTCTTTAAATAAAAAAAAAAAGAAACTAGAATTATGAAATTTTATTTTAATATAGAACAGTAAAAGTTTTATGTGATAAACATAATTCATATTTGGAAATTCTTAAAATTGATGGTGCTCAATTAACAGATAAAGCTTTAGAATATATTGATTATTGTCGAAAAATGAAATCGATTATGATAGAATTTTGCACAAATATGACAGGCTCAAATTTTCATATATTTCAAGTAGATTTTATTTATTTTTATATATTCAAATAATTTGTTTATTATTTTAATTTATTTCCAATAGAATTTTTATAATCTTAAAGAATTATGTTTATCAAAATTAACAACTGTTCCACTTGAATCATTTCAATTATTATTTAATGGAAAACATATTTTTGAACATTTAATTATACTTAAATTAGGTGAATGTCATTTGATTGATGATGATTGTGTTCGATCAATTATTAAAATGTAAGTGTTTATTTTGGACAATGCCTGATTCGATGATCTTTCATTTGGAGCTCTTCTTAATTCGGTCCGTTTCAATTGATTCTTATTTCGATCTCTTTCCAGATAGATTATAATTCAACAAATTAAAACGAGATGATAAATCTTCATTTCTCTTCATGATTAATCATTTAAATAGTTTATTCTCAAATAGTCATTAGTGAGAGGTCCACAAGGAATTAAATTTATTCCAGTTTACTCTATAGATTTTCAAGATACTATGACTTTCATACATTTTATATCTTTTACTCTCTTCAGTGTGTAGGTATAGATAGAATAGAGACCTTGCCCTCACCCACATTCTGTTTGATTTATACCTCATATTGTTAAACTTCTAGAAGACGTGTGAATATCGAAAAGTAAAACGGGATAAATTTAGTTTCTCGTCGACCTATGCATATTGAATATGAAAAACGAATAGCAAGTACCATGCAATTCACAACTAATGACTGTCTCAGAATTAAAAAGTGATGAACGTCTTTTTATCTGATACTATATAAGATAAAATTATATTAATCATCTCCGCAAAACGTTCAAAAAGAAAGGCATGAAAATAGTATTTCATTTCGATGTAATTTTGATTTTGACATGTTGTTTAGATAGAGGGATTTCACATTTATAGTTCAAGATGCAATTCAGATGATTATCTTCTCATATCTCAATGTTAGATAAACAAAGCTGTATATCTATTCGGTCCAATTATATAGAGTTCTGTTGATTTTTGTCAAAATTTTCTTGAAACAAAACATCGGTTTCACACACTCTTTTTGTATATTTTGTGAAGATGATGGATTTTAAAATAATTTTGTATTACATTGCATCAGGCAGAAAGACATCCAAAGTTCATCTGTTTCGAATGCTGAAAACAGAAGATCGCTAGCTGTTGTCGTTGTCGAATTATTTAGATTACACTCACCACTCTGTAATTCTAGCGTGGACATTGCACACAATAATGCATTTGTCCTTAACTATCAAGGTTTATAATTAGTAATTCGATACGGCAAAACCGTAAAAACAAAAAATTTAATTTTTTTTTATATACACAATGTGTCTATACATTATAAATGCTGATAACCTTTGTATTTTTGCTGTTATTTTTTATTGTTCAAATTTTTTTCTTCTATATTAAATATAATTATGAATCATTGTAATTGATCATATTAGGATTGCATTGAGAAAAGACCTAAATGAGAAATCATCGAATAGGATCGAGTCCAGGGTAAACCGTTTCTCTTTTCCTTTTTTTTTGTCGATAAGGTTTTTTCTTTCTTTTTGAAAACGTTTATTTTATAGGTGTCCTCGATTGATTGATTTCACTTGTACATGGGCATATTGTCTCACTGATGATAGTTTCAATGAAATTGTCATTCGATGTCATCATCTTCGACGTTTATCATTAGTAGGATGTCATCAAATTTATGGCCAAATATTACATGATGTACCAGAAAAATATTTCCATGATATAGAATATCTTAATTTTGAACAATGTAATCAAATTGAAGATGATCTTTTAGTTAAATTATATAAAAGAAAAAAATCGATATCGATTATCAATTATTATGGAACATCTGTTGACGATGATGATGATGATGATGATGATGAGAGAAATTTTTAATATTTCTTCTTCTTCTTTTTTTTTTTTAATATGTCTTTTTTATTGTATGACGTCTGTAAATATTATCAATTGAATGCAAAAAAAAAAGAAATGAATAAATAAATATCTTCAATGTTCAATTAATATTGAATTAAATATTTTCTTTTTCATTTGTTCTGTCTTTATATACAATTGATTTGTATTTTACGTTCACGTAACGAGTTTTTTTTTCTATTTGATAGAGAAGAACATGAAAAAAAAGAACAGAAAAAAATCCTTGTCTTGTAGGTCTCTGTAATTGTCTGTTTTTTTTTAAGCATTTTAATAATTACATTTGTTTGATCTGATAAGGTCATGAATTGTTCCTTACAATTAGAATGCGTATATGAGCATGTAAATGTTCAATAGTTTCACGCACCATCAATAAATGTCACGCGAAATGTCCCGTGCCATGCATATATGCACATATACAGAGGTAGGAAATAAAAGACAATGTTCAATTGATTTGAAGTCGCTTATTTAAAGGTGTGCACACAAACATATAAGGAACGTGCGTTAACAATGAATAAGTGGTCAACATCATTACCATCGATTATCTCATTGTGTAATGATGTACAATTTGAATTCGATCCTGTGTTTATACAACAAACAGGAACAGGAACACCGACTACAACATCAATGTCATCATCACATAAAAATCTATATAGTGGCAGTGGTTCTCTTAGTGATTTATCAATACTTATTCAATCTCAACCATCATTTATTAGCTATGATGAATATTTAAATAATTATACTCAATCATCCAAACCACCTATTTCGTTATATGATACATCTATTGAACATGCAACAACAATACAAGCAGATATATCATCACATGAACAATTTGTAACTGATGATGAATTACTTGAATCATTGGTTGCTTATGCCGATAGTTTTAATTTGGTTTCTTCTGATTATTCAATTCAAAATACAAAACTACAATTAACAACAAAAGTAACTCCAATTCCAAAAGTACAAACAACACCAATTCCAAAAATAAAACCAACACCAATTTCAACAGTACAAACAAACATAAGACGAAGAACACAATCGTCAACAGCTAATTTAACATCTATGATTGAAAATGATGCATTAACACGACATAGAAGTTGTGATGATATAACAATGGCATGTTCTATAACAAGTACTAGTAAACCAATAACTGTTATACCACGAGAAGAACTTAGGAAGAAAAAAAAATTAACAAAATTTGTACCATCTGAATCTCATCCACAATTTTTTTTTGCTAGAAAAACAGATGAAAATAATCATAATCATAATCATAATAATATTTTTGAAAAACATCATGAAGAAAAACCAATTGAAGATGGTGCAACAACGACAGATATTTCAAAATTTGAATGGGGATTTTCATCAGATACAATGAACGAATCAAACAAACCATTAGGTGAATCATTTCATAATTATGAAGCAACAACTAATATTGGTGATATTAATTTAAATTATTTAAAAGATCTTGAACGTTGTTCTTCTATGGCTGCTTCAATAGATTTTACGCATGAATATTCAACACCAATTCCACCACCACCACCACCCGTTATAATACGAAAAAAAAGTAAAGATATTATATTAAAACAACAAGTTGATATACAATTACTTCGTCCACCAACTCCTCCACCACCAGCTCCAATTATTATTCGAGAAGTTCGTCATAAACCTCCTTTGCCTCCTAGATCAATGACAATACATCAAAAACTAGAAAATACTGGTCAAGTTCAATTATCTAGAACACCATCACCTATTGTAATTCGTGAACGTCCACCACTTCCACCAAAAAAGGATTATCCATCCAAACCAACTATTTTTTATCGTCATTTACCAACTCCACCACCTTCACCACCAACAGTAATTGTTGAACGTCTTCGACCACGTGTTTCAGCCGTCATACAAAAACCAGCACCTATTTTAGTTGAAAAATGGTTACCATATCCACCTGAACAACAGCGTGAAATAATTTATGAACGAGCATCACCATTACCAATACGACATAAACGTCAAGCTAATGAACATGCAAAAAAAATTATTGTCGAATATGATGACGTTAATATTATTGTTAATAAAGATGTAAAACAACGATCAGAAATAAAATGTGTTAGACCCGATCAATATGTTCAACAATATGGAAATTCATTGTATTCGAATGAAACTCTTAATAAATTATTAACTGATTTTACTTGTTCATCGCAAGTATGTCTTTAAGAGTAATTCCGCTCTTTTTTTTACCATGTCTGATTCTCGAATAGAGTACAATTAATCGGACTGAAATTTTTACCATAGATAGAGCACCTTAAATAAGGAGATATGAATTTGATGGAAGAAGTTCCAAAACAAAAAAGGTTTTCGAAAAGTTTCTGGAGGAACTCTGGTTTTTTGTGGTACCGCCTTCTGGTACATTACAACTTCCATCAAACTTTGTCCGATTAGACGGCAAATTTTTTTGGAAATACTTAAAACTATATTTCAGAGGTAGTTTTGAGCTTTCAAGGAAATTTTACTTTCTTTTTTTCTTATGAGAAAAATATGTAAAAGTTCAGAGTCAAAATCAACGATTTAGTTTTCGGATATGAAGACCAAAAACGAAAACGATCAGTTGCACCTCTGGAAAATACTTCTAAGTATCTGTTGGAAAAAGTTTTGCCTGATCAGTTGTCACTCTTTGAAAAAACAGAAGTGGACAAATACAATGTGTGTATGGTGAATTCTCGTTTCGTCGAAAGCTTAATTGATTTTCTTGTTTCGTCGAAAATTTTATTATAGCTGTTTTTCCAGTGTTCCTATTTCGTCGAAAAAATTTTTTGTAGCGTTCTCGTTTCGTCGAAAAGTAAAATTGAAAGAAAAGATGAAGAATATAAGTAGCTTATTCTAATTGCTTTCGTTCTCTTGAATAGACTAAGAGGCATCAAAGAAACAAATTAAACTCTATCGTTACATCATTCAACCAACGATCCAATACCACTACGAAAAATTTATTTGTAAATCGAAATCCTTGATCCAAATATTTAGTTAGTGGTTATAAACAACAAACCTTAGTTGTGGACAAATAGGGGTTAGGATGAGAATGTGTGATTGTTTCGGTACATATGAGAACGTGGGTGATAGCTTTCTGATTGCCTACCCACACATTCAACACTATTAACATCTCAACATTTTCACAGCTCGGTGTGTGTAAATGTCAGCATTTTTCCCTTTCGATATTAGTGAGGTGACTCCATTAGCTGTGCAATCTTTGTAATGCTCTTAATAAATGTTTTTGAGATCCATCCAGAATCATTTTTTTGAATTAGTCTGTTAAAGAAAATGAAATGATTATGAATAAGCTAAGCATATTCTGCATATTTTCATTCAAATTTTAATTTTCGACGAAACAAGAACACACGAAAAAAAAAATTCGACGAAACGAGAAGACACGAAAAAAAATTTTTCGACGAAACAAGAAAATCAATTAAGCTTTCGACGAAACGAGAACTAACCGTGTGTATCCATAATACATGCCTATTTTCTTTTTCTTTTTTCTTAATTAAATTTATTTTAGGTGAAAAATGAACAACCAAATTTATCACATCAACGTTATTACGAAAATTATTCACCGATATATCATTAATTATGCAATCATAAAAACTAGGACAAAAAAATGACGATTAAAAATTTTTTTTTGTCCTCGTCGTGAAAATTCTATTGAACTACTTACTTCTCTTTCCTCTAAGAAACCTGTATGTGTGTGTTTGTGAAGAAAATATACGAGAAGTATTCATTTTATTCTTAAATTATATTCATATTTAAGGTTTTTTTCTGTTTTTGGATATGCTGTTGAAAAGAAAAGAAAAGAAAAAAAGAGCTGAACTATATCGTGCATTTATTTTTTATCTTTTCATTAAATTATTTCGAATAAATTAAATATAAATATAAAAATTATTTTATTGTAATAAGTTATTTTACGTAACATAAATTATTTCAATACAATAAAATAGATTTTTCAAAAAAAGAAAATGAAAATAATAACATTATCATACATCAAAAAATCAAAAAGTATATTGACTATTTTAATTGTAAAAATACTTTATTTAAGCAAAAAATTTGATTCAGTTAATTGATCAATATAAACATCGATGTTTATAAATATCGTGTAAAATCTGAAGAAAAATATATATACAATTATTAAATGTCAACTAGAAAGAAAAGATTTATGACGGCAGAAGTGAACTTGATATTCCGTACTATGGATACGCTCACAGCTACCAATCAAGTAACAATAACCAATGATATGACGGCTGCTACCAAAACGATACGAGATGCCACCAATATGTCGACTTCTACCAATAAGATAAGACTTAGCATCTACACGTTCATCCTAGAAGTAACGCCCATTGTCACCGAAGTATCGGCCATCATAGCCATGACGAATAGCTATCGGCTAGAATAATGAAGATGATAAATGAAAAACTAAATTAATTAATTGATCTCCTTGTAGAAAGCCATCGACGCAAAGAAGAACCAAACCAAACGCAAAATATTTGAGAATGAATGGTACGCTCATTATCATAGACGGATCATTTCTAATTAATTATTTAGTTGATGAGTGCATTGCTCTTGATAGATAAGATGAATAAAGAATGCATCAGTCCTCAATTACAGACTTTTTGCAAAACATCTTACTTTTTGTTTGTATTTTTTAAATATTAATTCAGAAAAATCTTTTATATAATTCTATTGTCATTTTCAAAAAAACAGTGAGTGTGACTGTTTTCTGAATAGCCTTTGATAGAAAATCAGTAGTGAGCTGCGATTTTCACCATTCAAAACAGGAATGTTTGGTATATGAACCAACGCGACATGTGATTGGTTTGAAGTTGATTGATTAGATAAATTTTTGCTAAAGACGTTTCAGAGCAATTTCTAGAAAACTTTTTCTTTGTAGTATAATTTGACTCGCTCTTATTTGTAAAGAGAAATTCAGATATTAGAGATCTATGCAAAATTGTCGAGATCTGTAGACTACACTATTCACGAGTTAGAAGATTTTTGAGAGATCTTTAACTTTACTCAACTGATTTCGGGTCACCTTAGAATCGATCTAGATATAAGTGAAATGTGTTCTAGAAGTCTTCAAGCAACAAAAAATAGCGTTTCGAAAACTTTAATCTGAAGGCTCAGAATTAGATTGAAACTGAAAATAAAATTCATTACCGGACTCAACGTCATTTATCACCCACATATGGACTGGTTCGGAGATAGTACAAAATCAGTAGATCTGTAATGTCTGAGCTTCTCTTTACAAAGTAGAACGAGTAAAGTTAAAATTTAATGAAAGCATTTTCTAGAAAATCGTTCTGAATGGTCTTCAGCAAAAACTCATCGAATCATTCAACTTCAAACTGATCACATATCACATTGTTTCATACAACTAACATTCCTATTTTCAATGGTGAAAACTGAAACTCACGAAATATTTTTTTTGTCAAAATTTACTCGGAAAAAGCTACACTCTTTGTTTTTTGAAGACGACAACAGTTGATCATCTTACTTTACTGAACGACATTAGACTGATATTGTCATTCTCTATCTTTCTTCTATATCCGTAGACAGTCAAAGAAGAAGAGATGAACATATATCACAATATTTCATTGGTTCTGAAGGTTATTTTTCTATCTTAGGTCACATCTTACTGGATACATAATCTTTCCGAAATTCTATCTAGGGAATTTGAAACTGAGATATCATAAAAATCGTTTTCATGAATAAAATATCCCTCAATCTCAAAACTGCTAATTTCAATAGAATAAAGATTAAAAACGAACTATACGTCAATATTTAGGCAGAAAGAATCACACGTTTTTCATTTAATTCTTTTTTGCCGATAATAAGTAATAGCACTGCTGTTTCTAAGGATGTGGGTCGTCTCTTCACACCAGAGATGCTCACAGGGCAGGGCAACCCTGCCCTGCTCTGTACCCTGTCCTGCCCTGAAGCTGGGCAGGGTAAAAAAAATTTTTTTCACCCTGTCCTGAAACAGGACAGGGTGCGGTAGCGCAGGGTGCAGGACAGGGCAGGGTGAGATGTTCATACCCTGCAAATTTGAACATCAAGTATCTAAGTTTTCATTTTCAGAAAGAACATTTTTTGGCTCTTTCTCAACCAAAAACCGAAAATAGATTACAGAGGGTGGTACCAGCTGGTAACTAGAGTTGCTGCTGGATGATACTAGCCAGACATATGCTATATGATCAGCCTCTGGACGTAGTAATCTATTTCGAAGTATATAAATATGTCTTAATTGCTCTTATATGATTATATAAGAGATTCGATGTTTTTCGTGTTACATTCGATTCGGTTAGATTTTGAACTTCTTGAGACTAAAAGGATACAAAAATTAAATCGAGTCGAATTTGTTTCTCAGATTGGAATATACAGACAAAAATGTGAAAATCGAATGTAACACGAAAAACATCGAATCTCTTATATAGTCACATAAGAACAATTAAGACATATTTATATGCTTTGGAACAAATTACTATGCCCAGAGGCTGATTATATACCACATCTCTCACTAGTATCACCTAGCATGTGTGGTATAAATATGAGATGTAACTGTCGATGTATAAAGAAAAAAAATATCGAAAAAATTATTTGTCTTATTACTTTTGGCCCACCCAGTATTTTTTGTTCTGCTTTTTGTTCAATTTCTTTTTGTTCAAATGAAGATCTATAGTGAAGCTTGTGAATCTAACTTGCGTATATTATGTCATTTACTTCTCTTGTCTCTTGATAATACTCATATCTTTTGTCAGTTCAATTGTTAACTATTTATATTGTAAAATGGATTTAAATAAAACAATTGTCTATGATATAATGCACAAACATCTTTGTTGCTGAACTGAATTTAAAAAAACGCAATAAGAGAGCATATCGATTCTACAGGGTACCCTGCCCTGCCCTGCTCGATCCAGTGCAGCAGGGCAGGACAGGGCAGGGTAGGCTTTTGTTTTGCTTTTTTTCGTCAGCAGGGCAGGGTAGGGGAAGAACAGGGTACAGGGCAGGACAGGGTGTAAAAATTCACCCTGTGAGCATCTCTGCTTCACACACCCATATCCATGCTTAGAGTGAAGTTTTCTGGCATTGTGAATGGATGAGTGTTACATTGATTATATTTGTTTGTTTTGGATTAGAAAAATTAAATCAAATGTTGATATATATTGAAAGAGTACTAAACATCATGTTAAATATTTTATTCTCTCATGAAATTAAAAAATAGTCGTCAAATGGCTATCTTAAAAATTTATCATGACTGGTCGTAACCGTAATAATCGTAAAACGCGGCGGTCATAACGATGTCTACACTGAAGTGACCAAACTACTTAGGGAAAAGAGGAATATATCTGGTCATTCTGTCTATACCATTGGCTTTTTTAAGAGACAAATACTCTATTTGTGTGATTATTTCATCAGTGACTCTTCTAGAACTGCCTTTGAAGAGGAGTTAATAATGAACTGACGACATATATTATTACTTTCTTTACTTAATCATCTTAGAGATGGTCGAAAACAAAGACATGAACAGTATGTCGACGTATTCGATTGAACCTTCTCCGGTAATTTTTCTGTGGTAAACTTCTTATTGCACATTCGAATTTACATAAGTTAGAATGATATTTACGCATCGGAACGATCTTTTTTTTATTCAGTCTTATCTTTTTCTTTCTCTATATTAATATTAAAGCCTATTTTGTCCAATTCATCTCGTCCAAAAACTTCATGTAACAATAAAATTAAAAAAATTGTTTAACGATGCAAGACTAACAGATAAATAAACTACTGTAGAAAAACTTTGAAATTGTTCAAGAGGAACAATTTTTTTCAAAGAAAAGTATTCTAAAATACAATCAATATCAAATAGTTGTAAATCATTTTAATACGTATCATTGTTTGACATTTCATTACTTTTACTTGCACAATGATTTGAACGTGAACGAAACAATTATTTGCTCAATAGGTATTCAACTATACATTCAAGCCTACTGTTTGACTATAGCTTTCAAATGTTGAAAATTTTGTTAAAATATCGATTACTCCAGTATTTGAAGAATTTAGACAGTTGCCAAAGCATTTCATATTTCTGATAATTGAATATGTGCATCAGATTATAGTTTAGAATGCGTTCCCTAACATCTTCATAATGTTATGAATAGCAAAAATGTAGAAAAAAAAAACGTGAAAGTTGTGTTTAAATCATTGCTTTAACATTATTTATTCATTTTGACAAAAGAAAGATCACTATAACATCACATGTTACATAAGAAAAGAAAAAAAAAATATATAATAAATTTTGATTAAGAAAAAATTTTTTTAAATATAATAATATGATTAAGTTCAACAATAGGTTGAAACTATCTCGTTTATCATCAATAACGATCTAAACAAAAAACGATATCAACAACGAATCCTACATAAAGAAAAATCACTTACAACAACGATAACGCCATCCCATATGCTTGAGCTGATATTCACGTTGGCGCATTTGTCCATTTCTAGATGGTTGTTCATCTTGTCGACGAGCAACGGCTAGAAACAAATAATAAGTCATATGATTAAATCATTAAAAATAAA